ATAATTTTACGTTTAAATTAGTTCATAAAGATTTTTTTTTAGATGGGAAATTTCATTTCACAACAAACAAATTACACAATACACAAATGACCCAAAATACAAATGAATTCGACCCTAAATCAATGACTGGATTCACTAGTAAAGACCAAAATAACACATGGGTGAATACAAGTATTGAAACTCATCGCATAAACTTCGAGCTTAACTATTGCTTGTTAAACAACACCAAAACAGTCGATGGACTAGGCTAGTTGACTGGGACCAAACCCCACGTAACAGAGACAATCACAAACCAACATAGAGAGAACTCTCGCTATAAAATATACACCACACTGTTAATAAATGGGTGGGAGACACAAACGAAGGACATCGTCTTTGTTATTATCGAAACAAAAACAGTAAAGTAAAACAAAAAAAACACACCAAAGGGGCGAAAACATCGATTGCCCTTATTACAACTAAAAAAAAATTTCACCGGTAGCAAGCCATCAGCCGTGGAATGCCATCTAGATCCAAGTGAGGCCATCTCAAAAGAAAAGCACACCCATAAGATGTGGAGGACAACGGGAGGATCACATCAAAATGGAGGGGACTTTAGCAACAAACACTCCAGCCACCAACGGAGAACGGACCCACTGCCTCCCAGAGAATCTCGCCACCAAACAGATCAACAGACCATGGGAGTGCGATAAAAAAAGTTGAAAACAACGATCCAAACTTGAAGCAACCCACCTCCAAGACAGGTTAGATCCGCCCTAACGGATGAGTCGCTCCACACACAACCACTTCACGAGAAAGCCAACATCGAGACGAATTTGGGGACCAAACCTCAAGACTGGAAGACCAGCGATGTGCCTAAAAGCGACATTGGAGCTTCAGCCAAACACTGCAATTTTTTTCCGTACTCAGAGAGAGAGAGAGAAAAAGAAAGAGAAAGTTTAATAATACAACTTTTAGAGTTAGTCTATAAATATAAATATTATCTTATACTAAAATATTTTTTGGTAATTTAAAAGGAGAAAAGCATATACAGTTTTTTAAAGCGTTTTCTCTTCTTCTTTGTTTGTAGCATTTATAACAATTTAGTTATTGTTAACATAATAGATTGTTCATCCAATTTCAACTAATCTGATTTATCACATGCATCTCATGTGAAAACTTTTTTCTTCTAATATTTTATTCAAAACTTTAATTTGTTTTTAGGGTTATTTTCATTTTTATACCTTTTATTTTAAATTTATTCAGGAAAATGTATATATATACGCACATGTACATACATATAGCATCCTTACATACTATGTTTAATTTAATCATCAGCACGTTCTTGATCCATTATATAAACAGATCCAGCCAATGAAGTAATACACGAACAAAATAAATTTGTATAAAAATCCACTACCTACTTTACTTTGTATTATCGTAAACTAATGAACATTATATTATTTTTTTCCTTCCAACGTAACCTTATCTATTTAGAAAAGTTATTTAAGATAGTCTATTGTTGAATAATGCAGTTTGAATTTGTCTGAAACCTTAGCAAGAAAGAAAGAAAGTGGAGTGCCTTAAAAGTTGTGATGCGAATTGAGATTGTCCTTGTTTTTACAAAAAAAAAAAAAATTTATTTCTAAACGGCTCTTTAATGATTTGCTTTTGATTAATATATATTTAAATGAAGCCAGATTCACGTGATTCCTTTTGATGTACAGAGTTTCGGGATCCAAATGAAAATTTTATGCCATGGAAGCAACGTGGTACTCGTTATAAGCACCGATCCAACTTTCTTGCATTTTTAATCAACTAAAACTTTATTTATTTAATACATTTAGCATGAATTTTAGTAATAAAATATTCTCAATAATAGACAACAAAAAGATTTTTAATCGACAACAAATATTCAACATTGTTATGGTTGTGTTAAAGTGTAATGAGATTGGACTCAATTTTTTTTTGTTTCAATTTTGTGTTTAACAAATCATACCAAAATATTGAAGTTAAACAAAAAAAAAAAGTTAAAAACTATTAAATTTTTTTTTAAATGATATGATGTAATGTGATTGATTAGACATTATTTTAAACATTAAAAAAGACTCCGTTTATTGCATATATTTACGTTTATTTCACCAATTTAAGTTTTTAATTTTAATTTTACTACACTTAAAAGTTCTCACAAAATGTCGCATCTAACTTTTTCTGCCACAGTGAAAATTCAAATCTGCGAACTGAAAGAAGTCTTAAACACATCATTCTGATTCTGTTACAGTATTTTTTATCTCATAAATAATTTGAATTTAAAAAATTTTTCTCTAACAAAGTTTTCGAATCAGAATGAACTCTAATTTTAGATCCAATGAGATTGATAAGACCTCAACAACTCAAAATTGATAACAATTCTGTCTGATTTATGTTGATAACAACTCAAAATTGATTTATGTTGATAACAACTCAAAATTGATTTATGTTGATATATAATTGATAACAATGAGGCTGTGATGCTGGCTACCATCACAAAAAAAAAGTTTATTTTGTTCAACACGTACTTAAATATCTCATCTCAATGCCAACTTGTCGCGTTTAGTTGGTATATTCGTGCCATGATTTGAATCATAATTCGTGATTCGTTACAGTATTTTTTCTTATAAAAACACACATAAATCAAAAATGATTCTGAATCTATGAACCAAACGTCCAGAAAATTATATTCTTAAAGAAAAATCTTTTTATCTATTTTTCTAAGAGTGGGAAAATCTTTTAAGAACAGTATTTAATTCGTTATCATATTAATAAATCAAATTTTATATTTATTAAATCTACATAAAATCACGTAAAAATAAAAAAAAAATATTCAACAATTATCAGTTATCAAGAATCTCTTTTTAAAATAACCAATAAAGATATGGATCCAAAATTGAATACTTATCTCATTAATATATATGGTGTTGACTATCATGTCTGACAAAGATAATCATGCTTAATGATCGCCAATTCACAGCCAGCTACGAAAGTCTACATAAAGTGATCTAAAAGTCCATAGGATTCCATTTTAATAAAATTCATATATTAATATCCTAATAAGCAAGTTTAGAAAATGCATTAATGGTAAATCCTATCCCAAAAAAAACATAATTATACCAATTATATATTTTGGTTCATTTATTGAAAATAGTGCTAAAAATGTTATTTTTGGACAAACCGCTATTCATGATCTATTTTGTTATTACAATGTCAACAAGTAGACCAATAAAAACTACTGCACTTATAAAATGCTAAATTGAAAATTTCTATTGAAAAAATGCTAATTGAAATGTAGTTGTATGCATAATCTAATGATACCACAGAGTGATAAGTTTAAATTAAGCACATCCAAATTATATATATACAAAAAGCTAATTGTAATCGAAAAACTCCAAAACTGGTTAAGAGTCCGTTTAGTTCGTTGATTCAAATTTTTAATTCGAGTTCTTATTTTACCTTAAGTTCTTATTATAACAATCCATCTTCAAACAAGCACATATAAGATTTCTAGCGATCCGTCTTTAAGATGATATATAGTTACATTGACTTTTAATTATTGTAATTTTTCATTATAATGAAAAAGGAGATTACAAGAGAAAATACCCACCTCTTGGTCCCTTTGTGGTTTTTCTATAACCACTCTTACCCAAAAATTCCCTTATACGTAAAACTAGAGCAACTAAAAATAAAGATGTGAAATTTTCAGGAAAAATAAAAAATAAAAAAAACTTACTAAAATTTGTTTGCTCTCCAATATCTCCAAAAAGCATGGTAATCTGCATCAGGATGATAATTTAGCTCCATATACTAAGAGTCAATCTAGTTCGTTGATTCGAGTTGAGATGTGATTTTATATGAGAGTTTTTTACTATAGTAAAAAAGTTAGATGTGATTATTTTTTAGAGCTTTTTACTATAACAAAACTCGAATCAATGAAATGAACGGGGCCTACAAATTTATTTAACTTGTGCGTTCAACTCAGTGATTTTAATTTATTAATAAGAATTTTATGAAAGAAGAAATATTTAAATATAAATTCTTTGTAAGATGAAAAATATTGTAGCAAAATTAGGAGTTTGAATACATTTTCTAAACACCTCTTAACATTTTGCAATATCATATATAAATTTATCAATTTCGTTTTTGCTCTTTGGTGAAACCAATATTAAAGAATATGCTATTAAATGTAAGATTATATATAAATGTTTGGAATGTAATTTGCTGATATTGTTTTTCCCAAAACACAAATAGTTCAAGGAACACTCGAGCAACATGCATACCTCATTCCACCTTAATTTTTTTTTTTCAAAAACAACATATACTTAATCGTTTAGAAGGTTCTCTGGTAAGATATCTTTATTATATATCTAATTTTTGACTCTTAAATATAATTAAAATTATATTAAATTAAAAAAATATAATTTTTAATATAAATTTAACTGTTAAAAACGGAAACTTTTTAATTGTTAATTTATTCAAAATCTATCCAATTTAAAAAAGCAACATATAATAGTTTTTAATGGTAAGTGTAAATGCACATGTCTACATCCCTTTGTTATATATATTTTTTTCCCTCTCCTTTTCTTTTCCCAATTTAACCCACGCAGTTATTTTTGACAATCCGGATTTCCCAAAAGAAATAATAAAAGTCAATTGATTTTGAGAAATTACCGTCAATTATTACATATTATTCAAAAAAAAAAATGTTGTGTATAATAGTGTGTGTAATGCATCCATCTTTAGCATTTTTTTTTTGTTTTTTCAAAAAAAAAAACCCGACAATTAATTGAGAGAATTTATCCCTTAATTCGAATCATAATTTATAATTTACTATAGTATTTTTTTATTAAAAAATATACATAAATTAAAAATAATTTTAATTTTATAATTCTAATCCATCAAATAATTATTATAGTATATTTTCGTCTATTTCTTTATTAGAAAAGATTAGAAAAGGAAAGCCCCTGGAAAAATCAAAACCAAAATAGGAAAATATCTAAACCGGACAAAGACAGAGTCGCCCAAGAAGACGCAAGGGCCAGCTGAGATTTCTTTAAATCTCCGCTAACTCTCTCTCACAACACAAACAGTTGTCGCCGTCTTATCTTTGCTCCAAGGTTCTCATCGCTCCTCTCTCATCACTCCACACAGGCATTTCGTCTTTTCCCGACCTCCGTTCTTTCCGGGTATTTTTTTTTCTTTCATTTTAGTCCCTCATCAATTTCCCTTTGCATTCTCGGAAAATCTCGTAGGATTTCTGATTATTTTTTACTTTGCTTATTTTGATGTTTGGTTTGGTTGACTCCGAGAATATGTTCTTTTCGGATTGTTTCTTATCACCTTTTTTGTTATTTTTATTACATGATTTCTCTTTCTGAGGATTGTTTCTGAGATTTGTCGTTTTTTTTTTAATTCCTTTTTATATGTTTGGTTGATGAGATACAAGAGGAATAAAGGAAAGAATGTTTTTAGTAATTACTAATCAATTTCTCGTTCTTTTTGTCTGAAATGAAAAACCCATTGAGCAATTAAAACTTGTTCATTTTTTTTTGTTTTTGGAATTCCCTTTCTTCAATTGATTGTGATTTTTATGGATTTTTCTTTGCTGATATTTTTGGGTTGTTGGTTGGTTGGTTGGTTGCGCAGTGATTGAGTAAAAATGGCGGAGGAGAAGACTGCTATTGCGAAAGATGTTACTGAAGTAAGTTACACACATATTATTTATCCCATTTGGTGTTTAAATACGAGAAAACTGTAGCTTACAACAAAACATATCTTTGCTTTGTTGACATTTGCAGTTGATTGGTAAAACACCATTGGTCTATCTCAACCATGTTGTGGACGGTTGCGTAGCCCGCGTTGCCGCTAAGTTGGAGATGCTGGAACCTTGCTCTAGCGTCAAGGACAGGTACTGAACGGAGTTTCATTTGATATTTGTACGACTTGTTTTTTGGTAGCATGCTTATGGTTCTTTTATAATTTTTTTTTGTTGATTGGCTATGCTTTACTGCACAAGAGTGAGTTTGTTTGGAAAGTTTTGGAACTTTTACCTTTTTGATGTAGAACTCTTGTTTTACTGGGTTATGTTTTGATAAGTTAGGCTTTTAAAAAAAATTTGGATTCAGTTCCCCAACTGCGAAGAAATCAAAGAGTCTAGCGAATTTCCAAGTTCATGTTTACATCAGGAATTGATTCACTTTTAAGTTAAAATTAAATGGAATAAAATGCAATATGTCTTCATTGCAGGATTGGATATAACTTTACATGATTGATTAATTTCGAATTAATATTTAATGCACGGTCTGTCTCCATTGTAGGATTGGATATAGTATGATTCAAGACGCAGAGGAGAAGTGTCTCATCACTCCGGGTGTGGTTAGTAGTTTTAGTAATTACTTGTTAACATGAAATGATACCACTTTTGATTCTGCCTTAAACATTACCTACGTGTGTTATTCGAAGAGTTGCTTCATCCAATTCCATGTGTTCACGCACTATGTGACGTACATTTCCTACTCTTTCTCATAACATATTCTTTTATTCTTTTATTTTACTTTATTTATTTATTTATTTTTCTTATAAATGTTAGTGAGCTGTGAGCTTACTGCTCGTTGGTAGTATGATAATGTTTCTTTATAGGGTTAACCTTAGGGCAATTTTCTGAGGGAGAGAACTTTTGACATTATGAGAAATTCCAAATATATGTTGCAGAGTGTTCTTATTGAGCCTACAAGTGGAAATACTGGCATTGGGCTGGCATTTATGGCAGCTGCAAAGGGCTATAAACTAATAATTACAATGCCTGCTTCCATGAGTCTTGAGAGAAGAACCATTCTGCGCGCTTTTGGAGCTGAGCTTGTTCTCACAGACCCAGCGAAGGGCATGAAAGGAGCTCTTGCAAAGGCGGAAGAGATAATAGCCAAAACACCCAATTCCTATATGCTTCAGCAATTTGAGAACCCTGCCAACCCAAAGGTACAGTTTTCATCAATGTTTAATTCACATATGAAAGTCTCTCCGGAGAGATTTTCTCATATTTTCTTGCCTTTTTAGATCCATTATGAGACTACTGGACCCGAGATTTGGAAAGGCTCTGGTGGGAAAGTTGATGCTCTTGTTTCTGGGATAGGAACTGGAGGCACAGTAACAGGTGCTGGAAAGTATCTCAAAGAGCAAAACCCTGACATTAAGGTTTGTATTTTTTGCATTTATGGGAAAAATATTGTTTTAATTTGAATATTCTTTTTTCCATGTTATTACTTATTATGTCACTCTTTTTCTCCTTGCTTTTATGTTTAGCTCTATGGTGTAGAACCCGTAGAAAGTGCCATATTGTCTGGAGGAAAACCTGGTGAGTCATGATTCCTGCTAATCTGCTTCACCTCTCTTTTTACATTTGCCATATTCCTTTCCTAGTAACCATGCCTATTAGTGTTACTATTGCTTTCTCATGATATCTTTTTTCTGAACTAATAAAGTGAATATTTGTATATGTCAAAGGCCCACATAAGATCCAAGGAATTGGTGCTGGATTCATTCCTGGAGTTTTGGACGTCCATCTACTTGATGAAGTTATTCAAGTATGCCTCGGAACTTCTTATTGGAATAGCTTGGCGTAAAGCCATGGATTATTGCACTCCACTAGTTTTGACATATCATGTTTTGCAAAAATTTGTGAACTAGTAGTATGAAATGGTAAACCATCATAAACATACTGGTAAACAAGAGGATTATACGTTTTCAATAACTCCATCTGTTATACTACATTCTTTTATGACCTGGGCCGTTCGAAGTTATCTGGGTTCATATTGGGGGCTGAGACTGAATCCCATGTTTTTTGACGTTACAGATATCAAGTGATGAAGCTGTTGAAACTGCTAAGACTCTTGCATTGAAAGAAGGCCTGTTGGTAAGTTTATTGATCTGTTCAAGTAAAGCACCTACATATTTTCTGTTCTCTGTAACTCTTTATTCTTCTTGGTTCATACTTTCTAAATGTTGACAATCATGTGTTTTCTAGATATTTTTTTTATCCTCGATTTTCAATGGTATTATTAATGCTAAAATGTAATGCAGGTAGGGATATCATCCGGTGCTGCTGCCGCTGCTGCAATTAAGATAGCAAAGAGGCCAGAAAATGCTGGGAAACTCATCGTTGTAAGTTTATTATCATTACTTTTTGTTTGATAATGTTTTCATGTGGAGTCATTATACAAGAACCATGCTGTCCTTTTTTCATCTTTACTTGCTATCTACATAACCCCTAAATTAATCAACCACATTACTTTATCTAAGCTCTCATCATTTCTTCTTCCAAAATGTAAACAGGCTGTCTTCCCTAGCTTTGGGGAGCGTTATCTCTCCACCGTGCTGTTTGAGTCTCTGAAGCGGGAGACTGAGAGCTTGACTTTCGAGCCCTAAAGCGTTCCCCAACTTGAAAAGGAGCCTTTTAGTTTCATGTGCATGCGCATGGTCATCAAATTGCATTTATTTTCCAGTTTGAATCTCTCTCTTTATATTTAGTAGTCTAAATAAACACAATGAATAATATGGTGGGTTCAAGTGTGAACATGAATGTCGGAGTGTGTATGGGCTGACCGAAAACTGGCATCTTGTATTGCAACACTAATTAGTATGGTACAATATGTTTAGTCTTCTTCCTCTCAACCCTTTATTGTCCCAAATTCCAAGTTCTTAAATTTTGCCATCAGAATTACTAATTACTAATGTAACTTTAGACGAGGAAAAAGCTAATAAAACATCCAAACTTGAAACAAGAAAAAAGCAAAAACAACAAACTTATAGAATTCTTTCGGACCACACGAGATTGTTGTAACATACTCTTTTTTTCATGGATTTAATTCTTTTTTTTTTTGAAAGAGAAAAGATACATTTTTATTTTCAAATATTTAGCATCCGTACTTCTAAGATATCTTTTGAAATTGTTGACATCAAAGCTTCGAGGTTATTATTATCAAGCACCACCGCGAAATTCTCCAAATAAAAAAAAAAAAAATTTCAAACTTCAAATTTCAGAAGTTATAAAATCTGAGGAAAAAATTGTATTAGACTCGTTTGTTAAACCAGTTCAAATGGTTTTAAATCAATGTTAGACAATAACAAACCAGTTCAAATGGTTTTAGATCAATGTTAGACAAACTGCCTTTTTGAAGCTTACTTTGATACTTCCAAGAATAAAATGACAAAAAAAACATTTCGACAAAAAAAAAATGACCAACATTTTCTTAATGCTTTGAACCAAAAAGAGAAAAAGAAAATCTAAATTATTCCCCATCACTTTCAACGAATGAAACAGAAAATTTAAACAGCATTTTTAAAAACAAACAAATTCAGGCCACCATTTAGCCCAAAAATCTCCCATCAATTAAAAATAAAAAAACAAATCAACTAGAAATGGCAGGGGCCGCGCGAACGCAGGCCCCCTCTACCACAAATTATGACGTTGGCTCTCCCATATTTGAGGAGACCATAGGCTAGCACCCCTCCGGATGTGCAATGGAGGTCACTAGCCTAGGCCATAGGCCTTCTTGATCGCCCATTGACCCCGTCCAGGTAAGTGAGTTGCCCATCGCTCTTTGCTTCTATTATACCTACTCCTCATCTCTCTTCTTTCATTCACTTCCCATGTGGGACATATATTATTATGCCAACCTATCTTGCATTTTCTATGACACCTAAAACACTAGCAAAAGCTAATAATATAACCTACTTTTAACTCGTAATCCAATACTTTAATAGGCAAAAACGAAGATCTCATCAAAATTCAAAATCTGCTTCAAGTGGAACGAGTTTAGCATGTGGTTGAAATCTTCACAAAAATCGCAATTACCCAAAGGAAAACAAAGAGGGAACCATATGAAACCTTTGAGAAACCATGAAATGAAGTGATAATTTTTTTTTTTATTTCTTCCTTTTTTTCCCCCAAGGATTGCAGTCCAAATTTCTTGTTATGCTTTTGTGCATATTGGCTATGATATTATTTTGAAATAGAAAATATATGTTTTCTATTAGCATGCTATACATCTATTAACATTTCATCTTCGTCTGGAAAGTGGAGCCTCTATGTAGGATGGTTCTTCAAACTAAGGTAAATACGTTTCCATATCTTTTATCTTTAAGAAAGATAAAAAAGGGGAACACATTTCAATCAAACCAAAAGTTTCAGCCGTTTCACAAAATTATTAGATTTTTGACAAATTATAGCCTAATCTATTATATCCTTCAATAGAACCTACGCTTCGCCTGTAAAAACTACTTCTAAAATAATGAATAAAATTAGCTGATTTCATTATAATATAATTAAATCATTCTTGAGACAGCTCTGTTTCACAAAGCGACAGTGGGAAGACTACTTAAACGAACATTCAATTTACATCGTAAAATATATAATAAATATTTGAATTAGTCTAAATTCATGAATGAAAAATTTAATATAGAGAGAGCAATAACTAATTGAAGTAGTCCTCAACTAATGAATGAAAAATTTAAAAATAAATTGAGTAAGCAAGAATAAACACATATCATATGTAATAATATATTTGTGTTATCAATTACAAACGAATGAGATATGAACATTTTTATACTAAATTGGTAGGGGCCGCGCGAACGCAGGCCCCCGCAGCAACAAATTATGACGTAGGCTCTCCTACTTTGAGGAGACCTTAGGCGGGCGCCCCTCCCAAGTGCAATGGAAGTCACCAACCTAGGCCATGGGCCTTCTTGATCGCCCATTGACCCCGTCCAGGTAAGTATGTTGCAACGCTCGCCTTTGCTTTCATTTTATACACTACACTCGCCTCTCTCCTTTTATCAACTTTCGATGTGGGACTTTTTTCCTTTTCCTTGTTTTGCCCTTTTGCATGACTCGGCAAAGTCTCTTCTTCCTTGTCGTTTCATAAAAAGAGTGTTTATTTACTCTCAAAAATTATATGAAACACACTCCAAAGTTTCAAATAACGAATGTATGCGTTTGATGTTTCTGTTCAGCTCTTATATATATATATAT